TCCACCCCTGTCTCCTCTGCTTCCTTCACCAACCTTGAGTTCCCTCACTCCACACCTGCCTCATCTACTCTGCATTCACCAGCCTTCCTTTTTGTGCCCATAGAGACTGTCTTTTTCTGGATTATATTTTACTCTACTCGTCTATTTGTCTTGGTCCATATTATGCTGTTTTAATGACTGTAGTTTTTTTTTTTTTAAATTGTCACTTATTTGTTATATGGTCGGGAGTGTGCCACAGTTTTTATAGAAGTCAGAAGACAACTTGCAGGAGTTAATTTTTTCACCATGTGGCTCCCAGGCTTCCACCCTGACTCCTTTTACCCTCTGAGGGCTCCTGTAGCTTAAAAAAAAATCTATTGTTCATTTATTTATTTATATTTATTTTGCTACTGCAGCTATAAAAGTTTTTAGTTGATGTTGTTTTGTTTTGCTTTGCTTTAAGAAATTTAAAATTATCTGCACCTCTTTTGGTGTGGATGCCATGAGAGCAGAGGCCTGTGGGATTCAGGAGAGGGCTTCCGATCGATATGCCTGGAGCCATAGTTACAGGAGGTTGTAAACTGCCTGATGTGGGTGCTGGAGCAGAACTCAGGTTCTCTGCCAGAGCAGCCAGTGCTCTTAACTGCGGAGCCATCCCTCCAGCCTCCTGTTGTAACTTTGATAAACTCTGGGATCAGACAGGGTGAGTGCTCCATTATTGGCCATTTTTGTTATTTCATTTCATTTTGTTTTTGAGAATGCATGTGAATTTGAGAAGATGAATTATTTTTCAAAACTCCCATTATACTTTAGATAAGAATTATATTGAATTTACTGATTATTTTTGTAGTACAGACTTCTTTTTTAAAAAATCCTTAATTCATTATTATTGTATGACTGTTTGCCTGCTGGTATTTCTGTTTGCCACACATGTGTCTGGTCCCTGTGGCAGTCAGAAGAGGGCACCAGATCCCCTGGAACAGCAGTTACAGGTTATTGGGAGCCATTGTCTGGGTGCTGGAATCAAACCCTGGTCCTCTGCAAGAGCAGCCAGTGCTCTTAACAAATAATCCATCTCTCCAGCCTCCTAATACAGACATCTGAACTAATTTTTCCATTTTAAGGATGAGATGAGTCCTACTCACCCGCTTCCTCTTTCTTTCAACTATGTCAGCCACTGGGTTTGGGAGAACAAGTCATTTGGTGCTTTAGTTTAGGCTTTTTCACTGCACCCCGCCACCCACTCCCCCACGCCCCCGCCCTGAGACAGAGTTTCTCCGTGTAGTTTTTTTTTTTTTCTTTGTGTGTCCTGGAGCTTGCTCTGTAGTCCAGGCTGGCCTCGAACTCACAGAGATCCACCTGGCTCTGCCTCCTGTGTGCCTGGATTAAAGGCGTGTGCCACTTCTGCCCGGCCTTCCCTATGTGTTTTTAGATTATAATTTTAGTTTTAGAGATTTATTTTCATTTGTGTGTTATATATGTGTACATGATTGTGTATGCCATCCTGTTCCCATATGTCCAAGGAGGCCAGAAGAGAGCCCTGGGTGCCTGAAGCTAGACTTACAGGAGGTTGTGAGCTGCTCCATCTGGGTGCTGGGAACTGAACTGGGGTCCTCTGCCAGGGCAGCAAGTGCTCTTAACTCCTGAACCATCTCTCTATGTTTTTTTCTTTTGACTTATAAATACACTTTATTTGTTTGTTTTTTGACAGCTCTGTGAGATCCACACAGGCACGTCTAATAGATCACCAACTCAGCTGGTTAGCCCACTCCTAACTAACCGGAACAATTAAGTTGTTTTCACTTTTTAATTGTTGGGGTTTAGTTAGGGTTAGATTTGAATGAAAAATCTTCATAACAGGCTCATGTATTTGAACCCTTGGTCATATTGCGAAGGGTATGGACCATTTAGAAGGTACAGTCTTCTGGAAGTTATGTGTTACTGGAGGTGCATTTTAAGAATATATTGCTGCACCTCACTTCCAATTTTCTCCCTGGTTCTCTGCATGTGTTGCAGATGTGACTTCTCAGTATCCTGCTTCAGCTGCCCCTCCACTATTAACCTTCCTTCTGGACCGCAAGCCTAATCCAATTCTTCCTTCCACAAGTTACTTTTGATCATGTTTTATCACCACAGTGGAAAAGTAACCGCTATTACACACTCTCAAACAGACTTCCTCTTTCTGTCCCTATATGGCTTGGTTGTTTCACCAGAGTGTTTCTCAACACACTTAGACTTGTTCCTGTTCTCTGGTCCCCGTGTCATTCATCTAATCACTGAGTGTTTGTTTGGGGTCTTCCACACCCAAGGATGACTTTGAACTACTGATCGTCCTGCCTGCCCCTTCCACACATTGGAGTTACAGACATGCACTACCACACCAGGATAATCACAAAATCTGAAAGGTTTTTCCTTGACATTTTCCTGGTTCTGGCCATTCATCCCCATGTGCAGCTCCACTGTGGCAAAGTGACACAGCCTGGTCCCCTCCAGTCTGTCCTCTGCACCCTAAGACTGTGATGTCAGAATCCAGCTGCTGCTCAGGGCACAGCACCGCCCTTCACCTCTCACAGAGACACTGCTGTCCAGACACTGTTCTCTCCAGCTGACCTGCTTCCATCCAGGTCCAGGGGTTCTCACCTGGGCAGTGATTTTAGTCAATGACAGTATTAGTGACCACACATCCTGTTCCCTTTCCTTTCTGGTTCAGCTTGTGCAATGAAACCACCCCTATCCCCAGAAGGATATAAAAAGAACCCCCGTTCCCGCTTTGGAGTCCCTGCCATGTTGGTGGAGCCTGAAATCTCCTTAGAGTGCCCTGCCATGTTGATATCTACATTCCTGTCTGTCCATAGCATCGATAACCTTCAGTAAACTCCTTCCTCCCCGGTAATCTGTCTCAGTGACCCTCTTGCATTCCCATCTGAGATTTTCACACACACTGATGTCATTACACCAGGACGCTGTGGTGGTCACTGCATTTTTCCTCTGGTATCAGAGACTTGGGGACCTGATTTACTAGGTTCCCTCTGGTCATTTCCTGCCTCCCCCACCAGCACCGCACTGCTCAAGAGTTTCTGAAATGGTTTCCCTTTCCTAGAAGGCCAAAGAGTGTCCTCTACATGACTCCCAGCCCTTTTCCGGCTATTTCGTGGAAGGAGGAGGGTTGAGATTAATTCTCATATAATCCAGGCTAGTCTTGAACTCAAGATCCTCCTGCCTCCACCTCCCAGGTGCACTTACTGAGGTTTGGATCACCACTGGCTGTCAGTGTTTTCATTTTTTAATTGTATTAGATGTTTTTATGCACCATGTGTGTGAGTGTGCACACACCATGGTGTGGGTGTGTTATAGGACAACATCCAGGACTCAAGCACTTTCCTGACTCAGCCATGCCCTTACCCTGGCATCTGGGCTGGTGTCAATCCCCTTTGAGGACTCTGGTGTGGACTGTTCTCGGAAACACTCAGGAAGTCTGATGGGGTACAGTCTTGGACCACTTACCTTTCCTTCTCCTCCACCCGAGGAACACTATCAATCCCAAAACCCCAGCCAGGAGTACAGCAGCAGCCACTGCCAACCCAACTCTGGTTCCCAGACCCAGGATCTGATTCTTCCCGCTCTTCTTCCCTTCTGTGGCTGTGAGTGCAGTTCTGGTGAGTTCAGTTCTGGTGAGTGCAGAAGTTGCAGAGGTGGGGCTTGGAGAGGTGGTCCTGGGGGCTGGGAGGAGACAAAGGAAGTCAGCATTGAACGTGATTGGGAAGTGTAAGCCAAATAAACCTTTTCCTCTCTAAGTTCTTGGTCATAGAATTTTTCACAGCAATAGAAACCTGCTGGCCCCTGAGTCCCAGGTAATGCACTCTGTTCTATTTTCAAGTCCTCTTTTGAATACCCATAGTGATCTGCTGAGGGATGATTTCTGTCCTGGATGCTGCAATATGTCACCTGCAGTACCAACTCCATTTCCCCAATAGCAGTGACTGTACCTTGCTCTCACAGGGTTTGGGCACTTCCTGTGCAGAACATCCTGGGGCTTTGGTTTGTGTAAGTGGAAATTTCTGTTTCTTCAACAGTTCCTAAATACCTGGCAGCTGCTTCCCAAATTACCACCCAGAGACTTATATAATTAATATATATTATATTATATTATATTATATTATATTATATTATATTATATTAATATAACTATATATAAATGTTCTGCTGGTAGCTCTGGCTTATTACTAACTGGCTCTTACACTTAAATTAACCCATAATTTTTTTTATCTATATTTAACTTGGTACCTTTTCTCAGTAGGGCAGTCTCATCATGTCTCCTCTGTATCTGCCTGAGGACTCCTGATCCAACACTTCCTCTTCCCAGCATCCCCAGAGACCTGTGTGTGTTGCCATGCACTTGTAATCCCAGCACTTCAAGGGGAAAATAGGCAGGTCACTGGGACACACTGCCAACTGTCCTAGGCTACTTTGTGAGTTCAGCCCAGAGGAAGATCCTTCAAAGGAAACATAAGAAGAGAGACAGAGAGACAGAGAGACAGAGAGCTAGAGAGAGGGAAAGAGAGACACAGAGAGAAATCTATCACTAGGGGTCTCTTTGCTTAGACATGAAAGAGAAAACATGCAAAGAAGAGTACTATTAAATTTGGCTACAAAAATGAAATTATGGAAAGAGAATTAATAAGTCAACCACAGGATTCTTTTCAATACTTGTTGCAAATATTTCTCCAGGTGGGATATCTTTGCCCTAAATGAGGATATTTTGCTCAGAGAAAACCTTTCTTTCTTTCTTTCTTTCTTTCTTTCTTTCTTTCTTTCTTTCTTTCTTTCTTTCTTTCTTTCTTTCTTTCTTTCCTTCTTTATTTCTTTCTTTCTTTCTTTCCTTCTTTCTTTCTTTTTTTTGAAACATTTCTTTTGAGGTTTGTGGATGCAGCTCAGTGGTGGAGTGCTTGCCTAGGGTGCATGAAGCCCTGAGTCCATCTCAAGCAGTGGACACAGGAGTGGTGAAACACCATTTTGGTCGAAGCTCTTGGGAAAGAGTTCAAGGCCATCTTAGGTTGTATAGCAATTTGAGACCAAGATGGCCACATGAGACTCTGTCTTAAAGAAATGAAAAAAAAAAGAAAATTGTCTTTTTATCATTAATTTAATAATTTTAAAAACAATAGGCAAGAATATTCAGTTAATGAATTAATTTAAAAAATGCTGATAAAAAATACTGATGAAGAACTCACAGTGGAGGTGAGGTGTAAGTCAATGACAGAGCCCTTGTCTAGTGTGCATGTGGCCTTGGGAACAACAAAAAAAACATGGTGTGTCTTCCTGAAGCAGAGGAAGGCATGGCTGCCTTAAATTGATTGTTCTACAAGCATCCAATAGATTATCTCCAAGGCTGGAGACATTGGGATTTGAGGAAGAGGCTGGAAGAACAGGAGCCATTTAGGAAAACGTGTAAGAGACACAGGAAATGCAGCTGTAAGGTGCCTGTCAATTCTGGCTGTGGAGTTTATCCTGAACCAGCACAGGGGTTAAGATGAGGACTGGTTTGCCAGAAGAGGCAGGTGGGTCTAACCTGGAAGGGACAAACGCACTTATCACTGGTACTGCTGAGAATTGGTGATAAAATTAATGATAATTGATTATTATTTGACTATTACTTTTATAATTTATTTTCAGCAGTGGTACATGAATGTGTGTATGTGTTTGTATATCTCTGTGTGTGTGTTTGTGTGTGTGTGTGTGTGTGTGTGTCAGAGGTTAACCTTGGGCATTCCTTCCTCAGATGTCATTCACCTTATTTGTAAGACAGACCACGTGAGCACCTGTAACCACAACACCGTGGGAGATGGAGACAAGAGGATCAATGGGCTTCACAGCCCATCAGCCTAGCTCTAAACAGTGAGCTCCAGGCTCAGAGGAGGAATCCCAATGACCATCCACTGTGGCCTTCCCAAAGAAAAAAAATGAAATACACCCCCCACATACAGGTGAACCCATGCAAACACACACACACACACACACACACACACACACACACACACACACACACAGAAACACAAAGAAACACACACACAAACACGTTTACACCATATATACACACTCCACAAAATCAAGACAGAAGAGAGGTAAGCAATAGTGTGAACTCCAGCAGAGGCCACGTGTCTACTGGTTGAGAAATGTTTGGAGGTAAAGGGTCCCTTACAGGGCCTGTTCCTCACCAGCATACTTTGGGCAGGGCTTGTATTCTTCATGTCTCCATGTCTCTCTCTGTATAATGACCACGAGAGTGCCCAACAGTGGTGACAGGTGGCCGGGGTAATGTCCACACAGTGACTAGGCTGGGTCTGTGTGCACTCTGTGTGGAAGCTGCAGTTACAGCTGCCATGGAGGAGGAGAAGTGACCAGAGAACTTGATCATGGTGAGAACATGAGGGTCTGTGTGGGAAGGTGGGGGATGGGGAGGAAGGAGGGAAAGAGGGGATGAGGGAGGGAAAAAAGAAACTGGGTCAGGGAGAGGTGAGGGATGCGTCCAGAGACTGGTGAAGTGGGGGGACCCAGAGGAGGAGGGGTTCATGGGACCAAAAGGCACCTACTGTGGAAGGCACGAGATATGGTGTAAAGTCTAGATCTAATGGAGACCCTGACACAGGACCAGGTGAAGGCTGCTCCGTCCTGGAGAGGCCAGATCCACGTGGATTTGTGTCAACGAGGGTGGGGTGGGCAGGGCAGTAGTCAGTTTGGAGAAAGGAGCAGGAGACTGGGCTCTGGGAAGAGCTGAGGCTGGGGGTGGGGTGGATCTGAGGGCAATGAGGGGCAGCTCAGAGAGAGCAGCTAAGGCTTGGGGATGGTTGTGGGGAAGAGGAAAGATGGAGTTGTCAGAGCTCTGGGGAGGGGACAGAACACACGAGAGGAGTCTGTGGGAAGGACCAGAAGTGTAGGATCTCTAATGACATCTATGGTACAAGGAAGTCAGGACCACAGGTCCTGACTTGGGATGTGCTCACCAGGAGTGATGGTGAGGTGGGTTCCTTTCTTAGACTGCCACACCTCCACGCCATATCTTGTGTTCAGAGAAACTCGGCAGAAGTACACGGTCTGGTCCTTCTCCTCCAAGTCCAGGATTCTGAGGACTCCGGATGTCTGAGGCTGTGTCCAGTTCAGGATGAGCCTGTTCTTGAAATGTTTATGTATGAAAGGTGGCGTGGAGTTGTAGATAAATTCCCCATGGAATTTCTCCCATTTCCAGAGAATCCTCATGTGTGGATCCTCTGCCAACTCCCAGGGAAAGTAGAAGGAGAAGGGGATCTCGATGGAGCTGCCCTGGACACCAGAGAGATGTGCTGGTTGGTTGACCCCAAAGGCATTTACTCTGTTAGATCCTGCAGAGTTACCTGGGAAGTACAGAAAGCATTTGAAGCCGCTGCAGGGATGGAAAGGACAGCCCAGACCTTCCAGAGCCTTCACCCAAAGGCAGGGGTGGGACACAGGGCAGGACTGTCTCTTTGTCCCACTGTCCCATATGGACAGGACAGACAAGGAAGGGTTGGGTGTACCCACTCTGAGGATGAGCTATCTCTCAGGACAGTCTCTCTCTCTCTGGCTCCTCCAGCAGACCCCTGTCCACATGACAGCCTGCTCTTCCCAGCCCCACTGGCCCCTCCTGTGGTTAGGGCAGAGTCCCTGCTAACAAGGTCCCCACCACTCACCAGCTTGCAGACATGCAGCTGACATCAGCAGAAGCAGGATCCAAGTCATGGCCTGATTCCCTCCCGGAAGTGAGACCAGCAGAGACATCAGGAAGGAGAGGAGCCCTGTGCAGGGACCCTGGGGTGCTCAGGAGTCAGGAAGAATAGGAGTAAAGGGGCACACAATCCCAGGGCCTTCTCATGTGGAGGACTGAGCCCGGGAAGAACCTCCCCATCTCCACCTCCCTGTGACCAGCAGCTTCCTTCATGATTCTGCCTTCTTCTTTCCCATGCTGCAGAAGATCCGCCCTGTGGTCATTGACAGGATGGCCGTGCCCTTGAGCCCAGCCCCCATTTTTTACAGGAAGATATGGAATTGACCTCACCAGGCTGGGCTATCCTCTCTTCCATCTTGACCTCCTGTCTTATCCAGTCTCGTCCATTTCCCATGTGGTCTGTAATCACTGGTTCCTCACCTCCACATTTCCTCTACTCCTGTGTTCCTCCTCCTCTGTTTCTCATTGTGTCTCCCACCATACTGGTTGTTTGACTGTCTGTCTGTCAGTATGTGTGTCTGACTAATAACATCAGGCACAGAAGTGGTCATTTTCTTGTCTCGTCAGACACAATGAGGATGGAGGTGATGAGGAAACACATTCAGTCCCCAGCCCTAGCTTGGTGTGCCCACCACCATCTGCTCTTTGTCCTCTTCTTGTCCTTCAGGGACTCTTCACAGCACCCGGCAGAACCAAGGCCCAGTGGACACTCTCACCCTGGCCTGCTCACTGCTGCCGAGTCTGTAACTACACTGGGCTTCCTGGGTGATCGTCTCCCTCCCCTAGACAGTGACTCCAAAACTGCTCCAGTTTCTGAAGGAGACTTTCTACATCCTACCAACCTTCACACACCTCAGAAGAGGATGCGAAGGGTCAGAGAAACCCTGGCACATGTCACATGACTACCACATGGCAGGTTGACTGGACTTCATCCCATCAAAGACTTGTAGTCCTCCACTCCACACAGACTTCAGCCTGCCTGCTCCGTGCAGCCTCTGAACTCCCCTCAAAGGCCAGGGATCTGCTTCTGGGTTCCTAGGAGACTGTCCTCACAAAGCATTTGAGTGACTCCGTCTAGATGTGGCTGCTCTAGAACCTTCATTGGATGAAGTGGAAAAAAGACTCACAGCAGTAATGTGTCACTCATGACATGTTGCCTGGGACATCTCTGACAGTGGACACACTGCCCAGTGACTAGGGTGGAGGGGTGGAGGGTGGGTGTAGAGGCTCTGGTGACCTCAGGGCTGGTTCTGTAGGAGGGTCATCCTACTCTTCCTCATTTCTCGGTTCCATCAGTTCCACGGAAGACAAGTTTGTACCAGAGGAAGTGGCATCATTCTCTCTGAGTGACATGTGCAGAGCTGACTTCCCATTTCCTTAGATTCCTGCATTGATCGCCTCTCCATGCTTCCCTGCAGGTGTCTGTGCAGCTGCCTCTGTCACATCTGCTGTCTCTGCCTTCCTCACAGTCCCCACAGTCCCCATGGTCCTCTGATCTCTTGACCTGAGCCAGGCACAAACACTCATGCCCTCACTCCCAGCAGCACATGGACACACTTCTATATCCATCCATGCTGCTCTTGGAGACACAGATGCCCAGAGTCTTTGGGATGAGTTTGTTTCAAATGGTTAGTAAGGAGAGGGAATGGGTCTATTGTACCTACCATATTCCCCCGCCCCTGTTATTTAATATCTTCTCATATATCTCAGGCTTGGCCTTGAACTTCTTATGTAGCCAAAGATAACCTTGAACTCCTACAGATCCTCCTATCTGCCCTCCCAAATACTGGGGGACATGTGTTCCCCTTTGTGCCCCTTTATCTCCTCCTGGAGATAGCGCCCAGAGTTCTATGCACGTAAGCTCTCTACCAGATGAACCCTGTCTTTATCCTCAGGGAGGCCTTAGAGGGGGCTCTCCTGGTCTTGACCACTCACATCCAGGCTTCATTTGTCCTTGCCTTACTCTCTGGGGTTCTGTGAAAAAGGTCACTGGATTGCTGTGTCTCTGCAGGAAGGGCTGACCTGATGTGGCTGCCACATGTCAGGTGTTGACCCCAGCATTTTTACACAACAGGCCCTAGTGGGTTCTGTGAGATCCCAGCTGCTCCCTGTGCTCAGCCTCACTGCTGCTACCTGCTGGATCCTTAGTCCCAAGTCATGGGCTCTGTTCTAGTTTCAAGTCCTTGACTTAGTTGAACCCCCATAGGGACTCTGCTGTGGGATGATTTCTGTCCAGGATGCTGTAATCAGTCTCCTGCAATGACAACTCCATTTTTGCAGTAGCAGTGACTGGGCCCTGCAGCCATGATGCTTTCACAGGGGTCAGGCACTTTCTGTGGAAGAGCAGCCTGGGGCTGTGGTGTGCACACGTGGGGCTTCTGTACACAAGTGACTGGGTGTGTCGGACTGCAGTGTTAGGTCCTGGCAGCTGCACACATTAGCATGTGTGTGTCCTGCCCCCACAGAATAAATAAGTAAATGTAATTTAAACTATTAAAACCAAAGGTAGGCTGGGCATGACGGTGCATGTCTTTATTTCTAGCATTTAGGAGGCAGAGGGAGAGGCTAGTGGATCTCTGTGAGTTTGAGTGTATCCTGGTCTATATGTTCAATTTCAGGCCAGCAAGTGCTATATAGTGATCTCTTATCTAAAAACTAAATAAAACAAACAAAACAAACAAAACTCCAAAATCAATCAAACAAACAAAAACCTACAAAAAAATTAAAAAACAGAGGTGGATCGTATCCTGATTAGCAATGCCTGAGGTTGTCCTCTGGCTTCCACTTACATGAGCACACATTATTTGCAAACACATGCACTTGCACAAAGAACCGTACAAATCACACAAGGCACCTTTCACAGTTGATCTGCCATCACACATTTACCCAGTCCTCATCTTGAGTAAACATGGCCTCCCAGGCATGGCTATGTGACTCTTCAGACTCCAGTTCCTAACAGTGTCCCCAGAATCCAGACTCTGATTTTATACCCAGTTGTGTTTTCCCATAACAGTGGTGGCAGAGAACAGGCTTAACACTTCCTATTTCTGTCTGAATCATCCAATTCCAGTAACTTCCCTCAAATAACACACAGTACAAGCTTTGTGGGTAATGACCCAGCAGATAACCTCATTGATGAAAATCTGTCCATCTGTCCGCCTTTCCTGTCACACCACCTATCCTCCCACTCCTTGATTTCTTTTCCCCAGGGACAACATACAGACCCTAGACGGAATCCCAGTGTCATCTGTCCAGACTGTGTCCTGAGGAGAGTGGAGGAGATGCTAGAGAGGGTGGAAGGATGGCAGCTGGTGGTGTAGACAGGACACTCAGGCTGCACCTGAGACTTTACATTAGCACAGTTGCCCTGCCCCCATCTGACCTCTTCTTTCTCCCCCAGGATGACATCCTCATCTTCATCTCCCTCATGTGCTGCCAACCTCAGCATGAGCACCTCCCTGCACCCCTGCCAGGGGAACCTCAAGAAGAGACTCTATACTGTGTCCTAAAGACCCAGTGAGTGGGGCTGGGTGACCAGATCAGTCACCTACTTCTCTGGTATGAATTCTCCCACTGGTATGAAATCTCCCAGCTTCTGCTGATGCCCAAAGCCAACAACAGAAACTCACAAATCATTGATTGGAGGTCATAGAAACTGAGAAACACACAGGTCCTTTTTCAACATTATATATGTTCTATTAAAAAAAACCCCAAAATACCAAAATACAATACCAACAACAAAACAAACCCGAAAAACTATTTATGGTCACAAATTAGTCCAACTGAATCCAAATAGAAAAATGGTGACATCTTCAAGTTCTCTGTCTCCATCTGAAAGTGAACAAATGGATGACCTGCCTCCCTGACCTCTCTGTACTGTTTAGAGCTTCGGTTGACCTTGTTGTCTGTTTATTTCAAGACAAGGTCTCATGTAGCCCAGGCTGGCCTCAAGCTCAATTGGTGCTAATGAGAGCCTTCAATTCATGATCTTCCCATCACTACCTGTCTATGGTTGGGATTAGAGGCATATTCCACCATCTTAGATTAGATGGGCCTGTGAGGAAAGGAAGCCCAACATGGGATCCAATCAAGCCATGGTCTGTCACCTGAGTAGGAGCATGGTGGGATTGAGACTCTAGGTAAGATGTCAGTGTCCAGGGACATAGGGAGAGAGGAACCAGGATTCTGAGTGTGGACCATGGTCCCTGCCTCTCTCTGTGTCCCTTGTCATGGACACAATTACGTCACTCTCTAAGAGGTCTCACATGGGGGGTCAAGAGAGACACTGAGATGGATTGTTGGAAGTAAGATATTTATTAAAAAGTGTTATTGATTGAATAGACACAGGAAACAGCACAGTAGGGCTCTCAGGACCAGAGACAGACAAATTGACATGTGTTCTGATGGGAGGAAATCAGAGCCCACATGGCAGAAGTGGGGGTTCTCTTCTTGTACTTGTCCAAGGACAGGATGTTTCACACACAAGCCTGCAGCCATGCTCCCTGATTCCCAGGCAGGAGGCAGGGAAGTGGGGAGATGCTGCATGTGTGACCACCACATGATGTAAAGGGACCTCCCTGGTGAGAGATCCTGGCCCCTGGAGTCTGTTAGCTGGGGACTAACAGACAATGTCTCTCGGCAGGTGCCTGTGGGTGACCCAGAGAGGAGGAGGACAGTTTTCCAGAGTCAGTTTTCTTCTTGTACCATTTGGATCCCTAGAAAGCAAACCCAGGTTATTGGGCTAGGCAGCAGGCACCTTTTCTACTGAGCTATCTTGCTGGCTCACACAATTTTTTGTTCATAGAAATTCACGAACTTTAGATTGACATCTGTGGAAAAGGCATGAGACTGAACTAGATAGACCCTCTGCATACAGGAGACAGTTGTGTAGCCGGGTCTATTTGAGGAGCCCTTGGCAGAGTGATTAGGATCTACCCCTGGTGCATTAGGTGGCTTTCTGGGTCTGATTACTATGGTTGGACAACTTGCTCACCCTTGAGACATGGGGGAGGGGCTTGGTCCTGTTTCAACTGAATGTACCAGGCTTTGCATTCGCCTCATGGGAGAACATACTCTTTTGTAG